CACTCGTCCCCCTCGCTGTTGGTTGAATGATGTCGTGAAGTTGATTAAAATTCGATGAATTGTTGAATTGTTGAATGTTGAATCGTCGAATTGTTGAATGTTGAATCGTTGAATTGATGAGTAATCTGTAATTAAAAATAAAAAATAAAATTAATTATGTTTCATATCATTCGAAAAATTTTTTATGAATAAAAAACATAAATAAGAACAATTATGATTTAAAAAATGAATGTGTGAAAAGTCATAATTAAGATTATAAAATAATACTAACCGTTGATTTATCCAGACGAAGCCCCAGATTCGTTGATAAAGATGATCCAGAAGAAACGAAGATATTTTAATTCACACTTTCGACCATGACAATATTTTAATCGAAACGCAAATCCTCTTCTACCGAATTGGCCGAAAGTGTGTTAATGATTCTAATCACGTATCGAGCAAATTGTTTTTTTAACAAGAATATTTTTAACAAATTCTTGCATTGATTTTAAATAACGATTGAATTACTTTTAAAGCAATCTATACGATTGCATACAAAAAATGCAACATTTTTCAAAACAAACACTGAGTCTAAGATTGCATTGCACGCAATCACAACTGAAGCTCTGAAAATCAATGTTTAGTTAAAGCAAATCGTAGCGTACTTCTGTTTAATTGTTATGTTACTAATAAAAAAGATATTAATTGTTTTTTAATTCACAATTATTTAAACTACGTATCCCAAAAATTCTGGAATCGTGCCACTATTTTTTGTATGCTTTAATTATTAATAAAAAAATATTCAATAGATGTAACCACAAACTTGTAAGCTACATAAAAAAAAATCAGATAAAATACAAACGAGAAAATATCGCGTTGCATTCTATCTTTCAAAAAATAAATTTAATCGCGATGGGGTTATTTTTACAGAAGTATGCTAATTGCGTTAATACCTATAGGAAAGAATAGATATAGCATTAATGTAAAACTAAACAAGGTATAATATTTATATATAATCATTTGAACAATTAATTAGAATCGATTGAATGTGTCTTGAATTATTTATGTGAAT